CCTTCTTTTGCGGTGTATTTGTTGGGATCCAATGAATTGTGGGTTTATGATCAGATTATTCATGAGAAAAATTTGATTCTTTCCTGAATTCTCATATGTATGATTGGTATAGCTTTGTATTTCTCTTCGATCTATCCATTTAGTTTGGCCAACTAGAACGATTTATCTTGCAGTGGGAGAGGTGCTTTGTAATGGGCTCAATCTTGCGGTGCTCAAACCCAGTGATAGAAGGGGATCTGGCACGTATTTGTATTGTTGCCATTAAGGGGAAAACGACGGGGTTTATTCATATTGATTGGATTTACTTTGTCTACATCATGTCATCTTGCTTAAGGCATTACTCCGTTTTTCATTAACTTAATACTCTAGATGCATGCTGGATAATGGTTGATGAGTGGAGTAATAGTAGTAGATACAGGCAGGATCGGTCTACTTGTCTTGGACGTGATGTCTACCTACATGATCATTGCCTTGAATATCGTCATAACTATGCGCTTTTCTATCAATTGCCCAATAGTAATTTGTTTACCCACCGTATGCTTTTTGTTCGAGAGAGAATCCTCTAGTGAAAACTATGGCCCTCGGGTCTACCTTTATCATATATTAAAATCCAAAAATACATTGTTGTAATTTATTTACCATTCTTTTTTGTGTTTTATATTATCCATCTATCGTTATCAGATTTAGTCCTTGCAATTAACCGTCGAGGGGATTGACAACTCCCTTGATCGCATTGGGTGTAAGTATTCGCTCTTTTGTGTGTAGGTGATGTTCACGAGGTTTCGTGTGGTTCTCCTGCTAGATTGATAACCATGGTTCTTAACCGAGGAAAATACTTATCTCTACTGTACTGCATCATCCTCTCCTCTTCGGGGAAATCCCAACGCAGCTCACAAGTAGCATGGGGTAACATACAAAGAAATGGCGGATGAAAGACATTTTTTCGCACCAGAGAGCAAACATTAGGGCATCGCCAACACTGTCCTTCAAAATGGACACACACACGTCCAGACGTGTCGGTGAACAGCGGTAGCAAAGCTGACCATCCAACCCAGTACACCAAATGTCCGCCCCTTAAAGAAACTAAATCAAATGTCTGCCATGCAGCCTCAGTTTGAATGATCGATCAATAGCAATTCAACCATGCATGTAAATCCTAATAAAAGCGTCAGATATTTAGAAAGTTTTTCGAATTCATCGATCCCAAATTCAATAAAATTCCTCGAAAGCGGCCTTCATCTCAAGATTTATCTCCTCAAGCTTGAGCTTCTTCATCGACGCATGTTGTTCACCCACATGGGCTCTCCCTTGACCTTCATCCAACAATGCATCAAAGTGGAGGGCTTGCCCTCCGTCCTTTGGTACATCATGGTAGTGCGTGTGAGATATACAATGACATGATCATCAAGTCACAATAGTGAGTGAATCAAATAATTGACCAACATGTAGAGCAACAAGAAGGAAAAGTTACGATCTCCATGATTGACGCGCCTGATGGCCACATTCTTTCCACTCGTGCACTCACATTGCAATACTTCATGATGGCATTTGAAATGGTGTACCAACGACATGACTTTGCATTGTGAGCATGATCACATCCAAATTGTAGGGCTCATAGTGCATGTGCTCATGAAACAAGAATGCACATGTTGTCAACTATCATGCCCTTTTGCTTTATACCTACAAAACCCTACACTTGTGGTCAACCATGTATCGTGCAACAATGCATTCTCCATCACCGAGTACCCCCTCCATCGTGCTAGCTTCATGTTTTTTCCCAGGAAAACTTCTGAGCTATTCATCTTCAATCATGGTAGTACAACAAACACTAAAAAAATTACATCTAGATTTCTAGACCACCTAGCAATGACTACAAGCACTGAAGCAAGTTGAAAGCGCGCCACCGTCATCGCCATCCCTCACTGGAGACGAGCAAAACTTGTAGTAGACAACCGGGGAGGTCATCATGCTAAGGCCCCTCACACGTCTCCGTCGTATCTATAATTTTTTTATTGTTTCATGCCATTATATTATAACTTTCACATACTTTTGGCAACAATTTATATGATTTTCTTAGACTAACATATTGATCCAGTGCCTAGTGCCAGTTCTTATTTGTTGCATGTTTTTTGTTTCGCAGAAAATCCATATCAAACGAAGTCCAAACACGATAAAAATTTATGGAATTTATTCTCGAATATATGTGATTTTTGGAAAAAAAGAATCAACGTGAGACGATGCGAGGGGCCCACAAGCTCAAGGGGCATGCCCCCTACCCTGTGCGCGCCTAACAGGCTTGTGGCTTCCTTGTAAGTCGGTTAGAGGTGTCCTTCTACCACAAGAAAGATAATATCCAGATAGAAAAAACCTCAAAATTTCAGCCCAATCGGAGTTATGGATCTCTGGAAATATAAGAAACGATTTTCAGCCAGAAAATAGAAACGCGAAACGGAAGATAACAGAGAGAGATCCAATCTCGAAGGGGCTCATGCCCTCCAGGAGCCATGGCGGCCAAGAACCAGAGGGGAAACCCTCCTCCCATCCAGGGGGAGACCAAGGAAGAAGAAGAAGGAGGGGGGCTCTCTCCCCCTCTCTTCCGGTGGCGCCGGAACGCCGCCGGGGCAATCATCGTGTGATGACGATCTACTCCAACAACTCTGTCATCTTCATCAACACCTCCATCACCTTTCGCCATCTATATTCAGCGGTCCACTCTTCCGCAACACGTTGTACCCCCTACTTGAACATGGTGCTTTATGCTTCATATTATTACCAATAATGTGTTACCATCCTATGATGTGTGAGTAGATTTTTGTTGTCCTATGGGTAATTTGTGAATTGTTATGATTGGTCTAAATTGCTTGTGGTTATGTTGCTGTCTTTTTGTGCCCATCATATGAGCGCACGTGGATCACGCCATAGAGTTAGTTGTATGTTGATAGGACTATCCATTAGAGGGCAAGAGTGACAGAAGCTTCTTCCTACCATATGGGATTGAAGGGGGACCAATATATCTTAATGCTATGGTTGGTTTTTACCTTAATAAACTTTGATGGTTGCAGATTCTTGCTAATAGTTCCAATCATAAGTGCGCAAAATTCCAAGTAAGGGACTACATGCTAGCAATGGCCCCTCCGACGCAAAAACTTGCATCGGTCTAGTAACTTAGCCAATTGCTTAGGGACAATTCCGCAAATCCTACCCGCACTTTTCCACGCTCGCTATACTAACCTAATTGTACTTTTAGTAAAACAGCACCTAACTTTTATTTTCACGTTCTTTATTATCTTGCAAGGCTATCCCTTTACACCTATAAAGTACTTCTAGTTTTATTACTTGTTTCTAGACAAAGCAAACGTTGGTGTGCGTATAGTTGTATCGATGGTCGATAGAACTCGAGAGAATATTAATTCTACCTTTACCTCCTTGTTGAGTTTCACATTCTTACTTATTGAAAAAGGCTACAAATGATACTCTATACTTATGGGTTATCAACCCCATAGGACCAGCGTACCAGATCAACAACCGCCACTGATGAAAGACGCGTAGATTGGAAGGATCCAACCTAAAGACACATGAAAGTAGATGAACAAAGACCAGGTCCAAGTAGATCCATCAAAGACAACCACCGAACGAATCCTGCGAGATCCGCCGGAGACACATCTCCACACGCCCTTCAATGATGCAAGATGCGTCGCAAAACTGGGGCTAGGCAGCAGAACCTTATTCCATCTTCACAGAGCTGCCGCCATCTCGTATTCCTGAGCAGGACACAAACCCTAACAAAACTAAAAGAAACATCTAAAAACAGAGCCCTCCCGCCGGCAAGGTCGGTATCCACCGTGCCTCCATGACCCTAGGGCCATGGGAGATGAGGTGGACCACGGCGGCGCCAACAGAAGACAAAGGAACCTTAGTATTTTCTGGAGGAAGAGGAGGTGGCTGGGAGTGCGCGTGTACCTAGGTACAATATGGCGTTAAATAAGGAGAAGGTAGAATAAATCTCAATGACATTTGATTGAACACTTGCCGAGCGTGGTGTTCGCCATCGACGACATCAACATGGGGCGGACAATACCTAAGCTGCGGAGGGATTCGGGATGCAATGACGATGAAGCACAAGGTGCCTGAGTGGAGTAGCGGTAGTCCGACAAGAATTGGGCATTAGCCAGTGTGGTGTATGGGTGGCATCGGTCTTGGTGGGTGCAAATGGAGAGCAAGAGGGGAGGAATGGAGTGGGAAGAGGGCTTGGGGAGGGGGATTGTGTTGGCCGAGTGTGTCAGAGTCTGACGTGTCAGTTGTCCAGACTCCTCCAAATGTTGCGAGCTTTCTTGTTTTTCTTAAAATGTGTCACGGTAAATGTTTTTCACCGGAATAGCAAACGAGTCTTGAGAAAAGAGTGAGTAAATTACAGCCAAACGAGGCATGTACTAGGACACGAGAATAATGCAGGCACGAGAGCAGTGTACGAAATACACACCGCCTAGGTGTGGCAATAAAACCAAGGACCATGGCTCAACATAACTGGGGCGAGTGCCATAATAGCGAGCTTAACTCCAACCGTTACCGTCCTTCATTTATGCAAACGGAGAAATCCCCATCAATCCACCCCCAAGCTAGATCGACCACGCGTGGTCCCAGTCAAGAAGCCCATATATATATACTAGTATAATAAATAAAATTTAAAAATCGCGAGAGAAACAAACACCAACCTACCCACCCCCGCCCCCCGTGCCCCTGTGTAAAAACCGGACAGGTGCACGCGACAGTGGTGGGAAAACCAGCGAAAAAGAAGAAGAAAAAGGACAGAAGAGAGAGAGAGAGAGAGAGAGAGCCACACCATAGTGGTGGAAAGGAAACCAGAGAGAGGGAGGGAGGGAGAGAGAGAGAAGAAACAAAACCCGCCCGATCTCCTCGCCCTCCTCCTACTCCCACTCCGATCGCTCCTGCCCGATTCCCTACCCGATTGCCGCGCGCCTCCTGGTCCCCTCCCGACACCCATGGAGCCTCACCCCGCGGCTGCAGCCGGAGGAGGAGGAGGAGGAGGAGGAGCAGGAGAAGGGGAGGCCGGCCGTGGCGCGGACCCCGACACCGGCCTCGAAGGTAGCAGCACGCTTTCCTCTCTCCCTCTCCCTGTGATTATTTTGCTCGGATCTCCACGTCCGTACGGCGCGCGGATCTACGTGGATTGGTGTAACGGGGCGAATGCGTGGCTTGCAGGGTCGATGTGGAGGATGGGGCTGGCCGGCGACGGCGGCGGGGAGGGGGACGGGGCGCGCCTGCCGGAGCGGCCGGACCAGGCGGACTGCATCTACTACCTCCGGACGGGAGCCTGCGGCTTCGGGGACCGCTGCCGCTACAACCACCCCCGCGATCGCGGCGGCACTGAGGTGACAAAACCTGCTTCCTCTCCCTTTTGCGCGCTCTCCTGATCTCACTCCGCGCGATTGGGTGAGCCCATGTGCGTGCGCGCGTTTGCGTTGGAAGCAGCTTTACGTTACGTATATTTGCCATGTGATCGATGTGGCGACACTGCAATCCACAGAGAGTATCAGATCACACAAATTACCAGTGGTTCGGGTAATGTAGCTCATCTCTAGCTGAATTGCATCTGCCGCTCGTGCAACTGTCCGCGGTGTCTTCCTAGTACTGATCAGGCGGCGGCAGCATGATAGTTTGGACGGTGGCGGTAACTGAACCTAGGCGCCCATTGGATATCCTTTTGGAAGCACAAAGTCATGGATGCTCTGCACAGTGATTCGCTTCTCCGCTCCTGCTATGCCAATCGTTTCACTGTATCAGCAGCTTTAAACTTACTAGTTTGGCTTTTATGGGCGACTAAGTTTACTAGGTGTCACTACATGCATTTTCCCACTTTCCCATTCTCCATTTTATCTATCTTATATCGTACCAATGCCCTGTTGACCATGATAACATAAAAGGTTATACCCCCCACCCCCGTCTTAGTAGTCGCATGTACTTAGATTTCTATATCAAATGCATGGAAAAACGATATACATGTATAACCATCAATCACAGAGGTTTAGAGCTGTCCTCAACAGTTTTATTCTAGATGGTTCAAATGCTTTTTGCTGTATCTGTATATATAAATCTATCTCACAGTTGTAAGTACCTTACATTTGACCCTAGTTTTGGTGGATTAAATGCTTTTTGACTTGCTTAATTTGCCAAAGATACTTCGCGTACTGCTTACCATTAGCACTTAAAGTTGACAATTTGACATTAATAAAGCTGCTTCCATCATGGGATGGTTTTCATAATTGATTTATCATGGCTTCAATACTTGCCATGTTTCTGTTAAGGAGATCTGTTTTCTGGCATGGGCCTAGGATATTGTTGTTGTTTCTACTATACTATTTGGGCCATAATCTTAGTTCAACCTAGAACATAAACAGGCGTTTTATCTCCTCCAGTTGAATTCTAGGAATCATATTTACAGTTTTGCAATAGATGACAAATGGAGTAATCACTGATTCCATTTTTTCAAAAATGTAGTTTGGCGGAGGTGCAAAGAATGCAGTAGCATTGGACTACCCCGAGCGGTTGGGTCAACCAGTATGTGAGGTACATAAATCTAACAGTTTCAGGCTCAAATTTAATTACCTTCCAAAAAAGGAGCATCAGTCACACTCTTGAGCATGCATGCACCAACTCCTGCACACCATCTGCATGCACCCAGTTGGCCACTTACTTGCTGCTCCTTGACTGGCATACAGAGCGAACAACTAAAAATTTAGTAATGTCTGGCGGGTATTCAGCATCCTGCCCATTTTATGTTGTGTCAGATGACTTGTTAACTATTTCGACTTACTCTTTTGTACTTCTTACAGTATTACATGAAGACTGGGACTTGCAAATTTGGTTCCAATTGCAAATATCACCATCCTAAGCAAGATGGTTCTGTGCAGCCTGTAATGTTAAACAGTAATGGATTCCCTCTACGTCCGGTGTGAAAATTCTCTCCAAAAACATTGCTTCTTTAGTGAAATCTTTCGCCTAGTATCTCTATGGAAAATTATTGATACCAACGAAATGCAGGGTGAGAAAGAGTGCTCCTACTACATGAAGACTGGACAATGCAAGTTTGGTTCGACATGTAAATTTCATCATCCAGAATTTGGTGGTGTTCCAGTTACTCCTGGAATTTATCCACCATTGCAGTCGTCAACTGTACCTTCGCCTCATCCATACGCTCCTCTTACAAATTGGCAAATGGGGAGGCCGCCTGTAGTCCCTGGATCATATATGCCAGGCTCATACACTCCAATGATGCTATCGTCTGGAATGATCCCCTTGCAAGGATGGAGCCCTTATCCGGTAACTAACTTGGGTTAACAAAAATAGTTTTGGTTAAGTATCAGGTCTCAAATGCAAAGGGGAATTAAGGGTCATAACTCACATGTCATACCAACTGACTTATTTAAAGATGTAAAGCAATGATTGGTGAATATGTAAAGTGTAGATCAGTGGTGTATGCGATCATAGAAAACAATTAAAGGAAAATGTTACATGTGAATTTCATGCAACAAGATAAGTATTTTCCTCCAAGTAAAAACTCTTCTGTTTGATGCAGGCTTCAGTAAACCCTGTAGCATCAGGTGGAGTACAACAAACTGTTCAAGCTGGACCTATGTATGGCATAGGGCACCATGGATCTTCCTCTACAATTGCTTATGGTGGTCCTTACATGCCTTACTCTTCCTCAACTATACAATCAAGCAATAATCAACAAGAACATGGATTCCCTGAGCGGCCAGGGCAGCCTGAGTGTCAGTATTACATGAGGACAGGAGATTGTAAATTTGGCGCTACATGTAAATATCATCATCCTCGAGATTGGAGTTCACCCAAGTCTAATTATATGTTCAGCCCTTTTTGCCTTCCACTTCGTCCAGTAAGTAACCCGAACACATCTTATGTATGTTGGACTCCCTCTGTAACTTAATATAAGATGTTTTTTGACACTGTCATGGACTCTAAAAACGTCTTATAAAAAGCTACAGAGGGAATAGGAACTAGTGCTGCGTGTATATATGATTATTATAATTACCTGGAAGCCAGCTAGAACTTCCATAGTTTCTGGTAATTTGAAACAAACAACTGTGTTGAAGCCTCTTATCTTCAAGAGTCAATCTACCTCAGTGATAATCTTCTCCATCCGGATGAGTCTATCTAGATCTATCTACCAAACCAATAACCCTGAGGAGTGGCATTTCACCTATTAAAGATGTGGGCTAGGTGGACCTTCAATATCGTCAGGAAATCTAGTCATGAATTGAGAACATTTGTGGTCCATAAGCAGTGATTTGATTGCATATGAATTTATAATAGAATCTCAAGGAGATAAATGACCTTTTAGTGCAAAGTAAATATGTTAGAGAGGCGTTGCATGTTCCATGGCTGAGTATGAGGCACTCTAAATCTCATGCCACCGCCCCTTAGCATGCTTAAGACATACTCCCTCCGTCTGAAAAAGCTTGTCCCTCAAATGGATGTATTTAGCACCAAGTTAGTGCTAGATACATCCATTTGAGGAACAAGCTTGGGACAAGCTTTTTCGGACAGAGGGAGTATTTGGTTACCTGACCACACAATTGCTTTGTGACTTGCTTAGCTTAAAGGTCGTAAATATTTATTTTTTGTTTTTGAAAATATCAGAAGACTTGGTTGGAACTTTAACCTATCAAATAAGATGCTTGGTTGAGCATATCTCCTGAGTTGTGAAGCTGTTCGTAAAATTTATCATAATTGAATGAAGCTCTCATGAAGTCACGATAGTTCGAAAAATGTCTCCCAGTTGGTGGTTCCACAAATCATAAGTTGTTCAGAACTCACGAGGTTGTTTAGTTTGTACTTAGAAGAATACATCCCATTTCCTGATCATATGGCATGCACTCAAACCCATTCTTGAGTCGCAATTCTCAAGTGCTTATAAGTAGCTGTCTTGGGTTACTCAGGTTGGAAGTACATTACTTTGTCGACAATTTACTACCGATCAACCTTTTGAGTCTCACCCGGCATTTTTCTTAGAAAACTGAATATACTTGTGATAAAAGTTGTCGATTAGTCAGTCTTTCCTGTCAACTAAATTCTTGCATACTATATCAGGAGAGCCTGGGTAGTTCATGAGACAGATATGGTAGCATAGTGGGGTGTATATTCGTTAGTCATCAGCTAAGCTTTTTGGTCAATGAAAACCATCAAATATTTTTCATGTGGCCAAGATCCTCATTGTTTAGACCCAGATCAATCAGTCCATTCAACTTGGTTGACCGAGCCTCACATTGACCAGATGGCTGTCAAGATCTTCAAAATTTGTGGAGATGCCGTGTAATCCAGCATATGATAGTGGAAAAAAGTAATATTCTCCAAATTTCTTAGCCAGTTAAGTTTCTTCAATGGAATAAACACCTTATGCTACCTTTGAATTTATATATTCCAACCAGGAGTTGTTCTAGCCTTTTTTTTCCTGTTTTTGTATGAGTGGCCAGTCCATCTTCTGTTATGACCGGCCAGATCTATGGCCGAAGGAGGCCCAACAGGCAGGCTTAGGCCCGCAAGTTATCTTAGTTTTTATTTTCAGATTATGCAAGATATCTTAGGTTAATTCTTATACAAGTTATCTTAGGTTAATTCTTCTGCAAGTTATCTAGGATATAAATATAGGTTGTAAGACTCTTTTTGGAATTAAGCAATAAGACTATTTCTATTGCCCGGCTCCCAGAGGAGCCGGAAACCCTAAACCCTAGCCGCCTCCTTCTCTCGCCGCCGCCGCACCGTGCCAGGACGGCGCCCCGCCGCCGGCCGCCGCGCTCAAGCCCTCGCCCTTCCCCCTCCTTCCCCTACTGTCTCCGACCAAGACCGGGCAGAACCCTAGCCGCTAACACCTTGGTATCAGGTACCCGGGTTTCGACCATGTCTTCCCCGCCAATCCCACCACCGCCGCCACCGCTGCCCCACGCCTCCCCCATCGCCGCTGCCACCGATTCCTCCACTACCGCCGCCGCGTCGACGGGCACTACGGCCTCCCTGTCGGCGCCGCTCTCCTCCGCCCCCGGCACCACGCCGGG